TGCCGGGCCCGGCCCGCTGCCCGGCCTCCCCGGCACAGGGCCGCGCGTGTGCGCGGGAAGGGCCCCGCCGGCGGGACGGCCGCGTAACCCCAATTTCCCCCCCCGCCTTAACCAAGGAGCTGGAGGAGCAGCAGAAGAGGCGGCGGGTGCCCCGTTTGCAGCGCTGAGGCGGCACCCCGCCCCCCCAGCACGAAGGGATGGGAGCGGATAGCGCCCTGCCACGCTGTGGGGCTGTACCGAGATGGATGCTAGCCGGGCCGCAGAACCGGTAGGCAGGTATGTTCGTCGGCAGAGGTACTGCCGGATTAAAATAAGATGCAGACGGAAAACACTTGTAAGGGAGCAACTGGATGAGGAAAAAAAATCCCGCATTCTGTGGTTGCAAAGATACGCAGCACGTACATAAAGTCCATATAGAACAAAACCTGCTGGCATGCACATTTAAATACAGCTTTTTTATAACGGGATGCTATTTTTGACATCTCTTCCTGCTGCTGTGGATTTGTTATCTTCTGGCTGAAGGCCCCTGTCACGCAATCAGATGCAGCAGCAAAGGGTCTGTTCTTGCTAGAACAGAAGTTCTAATTTAATCTGTGTTATGTTTAGTAAAAATATTTTGTATGTATACAACAGTTCAGAGCCCCTGTTGGCATACGTGTTTGGTCCAGTGGCTTTCACACAATGGTGGATGGCGCTCCTCTTTTTAATTGCTAGCTGGGTGGCTCAGCGCCAGAGATACGGACACCTACTCTTCTTAATTTATTTTAAATTTCAGAAATGTGTTTTGTGTATTGGTGCTTTGCAAAATTCACTGTTAGGACTATAGAAAATAAGTTTGTTCATATAAACTGATTAATGTTACTTGTAACAGCTTTAAGATTATATATATTTACTAGCACTATTTATATATACAGTTAACTGCTAAAACTTTTGACTCTGGATGTATAGAAAAGCAACATTGTCTAAGTGATGAGTATTAAGTATCATAAGTTGGAAAAGACAGCAGAATGATTGGAGGACTGAGAAGGTAAGACAGTTAAACTTTATGCTGTATCTTACTGGTTATAGCCTCCAAAATTATTATAGTGCAATGGCAACTCTTGTCCCCCTCCTGACATGAGGGAAGGCAGAACTGCATTTGCACATAAGGCTTGCACACCACTGGTGGCTTTCACCTAACTCATTTGTATTTGGAACTTGCTAAGAGGTCACCAAGGTAGGGGGTGAAAAGCCCCTTTTTAGCTCCATACAAGTCTTCTTACTCAATAAAGACACACAACTGCTTGATCAGGATTAGACCTTATTTTCAGTTGTTTTGTTAACAATGCTGCATGTATTAATGGCACTGCTTTTTCCACTTTCCTAGGCAGCATCAAGAGTTAATGGGATTTGTCACACCAGTGCTCAACTGAGACTAAGCTTCATCCCTTTATATGGAACTGTCTGCTCAAAGAGGAAGCTGCAGTGCTGGAAGCAGTCAGTGCTCGACTGCATGAGACCATGCTTCTCACAGAAGGCAAATGATGTCTTACTTCAAAAACTTAATGAAATGCAAACTCAGTTAAATCCTTTCAAGTGTCTTCGTTGCAAGGCAACAATAACCCAGTGGCTGACTTTTCTTAGAGCTGTTAGTTGAATAATTGGGAAGAGGGAAAACTAAAATTCCTACTAAGGTATGTAAAAGATGGCTTGATGTCCCATCATATTAAGGTTTGTAATTTCATTTACTATCAAGACCACAGAGGTAAACTTTTAAAAAAAAAAGGAAAAACCTTTTAGCATACAGGTCTTTTTTTTTTTCTCCTAGTAGCCACTAGTAGCAGAAGTGCCTTTTTAGGTATGTGGTGAACTAAAACTTGACGTAGCTGTTTCATACAGAACTTTTGTTTTTCACAGCTGGAAGATGTGAAGTTGTTCATAAAAAGGAATGCAACAGCAAACTAGGCCAATAATTCATTAACTATCACTAAAACAGTAAAAATTACTGCTTACATTGGCTAACAGTGAACTGATTTAATTAAGCAATATTGCTGCAGGCATTCAGAGTGCGCTTAACTGTATCTTCAACTCTATACTCCTGAAGTAAGGCATGCTTCAGGTTGTTAAAACTCATGTGCTTTAATTATTTAAATAACATAGATTGAATATTTTGCTTTATAGTGTATGTGTCTAAAGATATGTTAAGGTAAATAGCTAGCAACTTGTCCTGGTTTTACTCAACAGTGCTCGACAGTTGCCTCTCTGATCCAAGAGGATGGTGAGACTACTAAGTTTGCCTTACTTGAACAAGTATCAGAACTCTAACTTGACCAAAACAGGATTGTTTTTCTCATTTTAGAAGAGCACTCCTATCCAGCATACGGACAAGATAGTATCAAGAAGAACACTCCTTAAATTGACGAGGATTTATTGTGTTCAGGAACACCGAATAAATACCAAGCTTTCAGCTTCAGTTTGGCAATCCTTCTCCACCAAAAATGAGTTGGTTGGGTTTTTCTTTTTTCTGGCATAATCTCCATTGCCAGCAATGGATGTATCAGAACAAGAGTTAATAAATAATACACACAGACAGCAGTTTTCTAAACATACCTCCTCTTTTAAAGGTATGATACAGATTTACTAAACAAATCTCAAGCAAGTTCTTCACAGAAGAAAATTTTGCTACAAGCCACCTCTGAACATGGTTTTCTTCACCAATGCTGGTAGTTTATTTCATGGAGTACAGTATTTATTTCTGAACAGTACTGATGAATCATTTAAAAACCAAGGGGGTTTTTCCCCTTAAGGTAAGCTGAGACATGTGGCTAGTACTGAACTGTATGAATTTAAGAGTCATGTACCTCTTGCTGAGCTTTTCATGGCAATCATGAATAAACATACAAGAGAAGAAAAGGCAGCATGATACTGTGTTAGCAGGGGCCTGGGAGATTTTCTTTTTTTTGTTTCAGCTTACTTTTAAACCACTGTTCAAATGTTAAAGATACTGTATTTAATTTTAACAGATGTTTTGTTTGACTTTCTATAAAGAATTGTGTTAAAAACACAATTGAAGAAACTTCCTGCTCATGAGAATCACTTTCAAGTACTTAAATTTGAATATCCCTCTAAATGCCATTAATTTCTTACTAAAAATGTGTTTTTATAAAAGCATGAAGACTACAGAAAACCAATTAACATAATAGTTAATATTGTATAATTTTTTCCACAACTGTATTTTACATATCACCAAACCTCCGCTTTAGCAAAAGAAAAAAGAATAAAAATAAATTCTCTCCCAACTATTTACACACAGGAATTACCCTGCTATGGGACCAAATGCTTTACTCTACAGTCCCTCTAACCCAAGGCGTAATCTTAGGTGCATCCCTTTGTGATTTAGGTTCTTGGAAGTTTTCAGCAAACCTTTCTCTTGCTTTATCCCAGTTCTTTTTATTCTTGCTCTGGATGATCTGAACATCTTCAGCTGAGGCTGGTCTGCTGGTACCCAAACCTGCATGTGTTTTATGTAACTGAAGGTGGATCTGTCAAATATATAAAATATTGTTGTAACTGCAAGTTAGGTATTCTAAAGACTTTAAATCATATTTCATAATACTAATTCCACCCTTTTTCCCCATGCGCTTCTCTTTAAGGCTCTACTATACCTACATCACACATGGGCATCTAAAGTACTCCTAAAGTGATGCATCAAATCACCACCTCTAGATGTATGATCTAGAGTGCTGAATGATGTTACCTGCCACTAACATTACTGTGAAGTACTCCTTACCAAGTGAACAGCGTATGATCCCTGTGCTGGATAGTTTGACAACAAAAGGTATGGTATGACTGAGCAGCACTACTGCCAAAAGACAACATGTCTGGTGAGAAAACTGGGGCCAACATGTCTGCCATAGAGTCCCAGAACTCGGTGGTGAGTGACTCCAGCCAGCTTTTCCTCTCTCATGGCCCGTCATCTAGCTTGACTTCTGTGCTACATCAGCCTCAGAGAAAGTGAAAGATTCCACAATGAGCCCCTCTTGAATTCACATCACTTAAAATTATTTCAATCTTCCTCCAGATTTTGTATTCAAATAAGAGATTATTAATTCAATGGCTAGAAGCTGTAATCCCTTGTTTAGTTTCCTAACAAGTACAGACATCACTGGCATCTTCCACTGAAGGGACAAAATAATTGAAAAAAAATTATAAATAATTCATTAAGTACATAGAAAACTATTTGAGATAAGTCCTACTGAGATTATTCCTCCCTAACCAGGATTTGGAAACGTTTCAAGTGAATAATGTCTTACAATTTAGACATTTTTTACTGCAAATACATTTCTATTTCTTTTTGTGTAAAATAAAAACCAGAGACACCTACCGGATCCTTCATACCACCACCATCCTTGCCCAGGCCTTCCCCTTTCTTCCATCCCATCTTCTCCAACATTTTATGTCCTTTGTTGCTGTTGCTGATTTCACTTAAAGTTTAAGATAGCAGATAAGCAAGAGTTAATACAAAGAGTATGCTCTCTACTTGAATACTGAAGGACAGAAATGTGCATATGTATGCTGCTCTAGAAACCAAAACTAGTATGCTGCTCCTACTTCCATTAAGAGCTATCCAGAAGACCCTAGTGCTACCTTTTGTAAGTTCTTCCATGACTATCTTCGGTTACCAAAACTATTCCAAGCCTCTGGTCAATACCAACTTTCTTAAAACTTTCTTAAAACTCCTTCAGAACTACTTGCTTACTTTAAGACTTAAAAGATATAGCATGGGTGGGCAGGAATTGACTGCACTAGGGAAAAGGCAGTGTCACTACCTCACTACTACTTTAAAAAAACTCGCATTTTCATTGTCTCACACTTTCTTTTACTAACTTACAAGCACCTACAAGTTCATGTTTCTTTAAAAAAACAAACCACCCCAAAAAGCAACTACATAAGCAAAGGAGTAATTAAGGAGGAAGATGAAAGTACGTGTCATTTAAGAGGTCTGTAAATGCATGTCCTATGACAGGCTGAATATTGACGAAGCTGCAGGTGAAAAATTTGCTTGTGTACTATTACTGTGACTGGAGAGGAAAAGTAGCAATCAAGATACTTGAAAAACAGACATTATTGAAGGTGTCAGTAGTGCAGCTGGGAAGTTCCTTGATTTGTGAGTTGATAGGACAGTGATCTGAGCATCCTTACTGCCAAGCTGAAGTCTGTATGGAAGGTGAGGAGTTAATAAAAAGAGCATATGAACTGGGAAATGAGAATAGCTTACTATTTTCTAGTTCTCCTAACAGATTATATACAGGTAATTCATAATCTAACAAACTATCCTAGTAAGTGACACATACTTTATAATAATTTTTTAAGATTCACTAGAGAAGGACACGGAGGATTCCCATGTGCCCCCCCAAACAAACTTACATATGAACAGAAGCTGGACTATCATCTCTCTGGAAGGTTCCTTCACTTCCAATGGTCTCTCTGCGTCTTCCTGCTCTATCTTTGTACTTTGGATTCTTCACTGCTTTGTTGTCTTCATACTCTGTGTTCTTTATAAGCAGATTAAATTTCCACCAAGGCAAAGAAAGCAGGCTTTACATTTTTTATTTTTGATAACTTCACTGCTTCTCTCCAAAGTAATGCAGCCTATCTCATTAATTCTAAATCTTGTAACAAAACTCCTATAGTTCTCATTTAGTAGGTTCTTTACCTTACAGCCATACCTTGTGAGGTGTGTTATTGCCATCATCATATAATAATGTAATATTGCCAAATTCATTAATTTCACATAAGCTGTAAGTAAATTAACAGATTCTCTTGAATCTTCTCTTGGTATGAAGAATCAATCTCTCCACATTAGTAGAAAGCCACATGGTCATGGCACTAGCTTTTTGTTTAAATATTTAGCCTGTTCCTCAGCAACTATGACTTCAGAACAGATGCCAGAACTAAGCACATGTGTAGAACTAAGCATGTGTATAGATTCTGTATCAATATTATTTTGGTAGCTGAAGAATTCGAGAGAAACTACACCATTCTGTTTTCTACACCAATACTTACTACAAGTGCCAGACGTAACCCCATAGTTAAAATAATCTCTAAACCAGAAGTAACTTGAATACTTACATACTATATTGCCTGTACATTCATGTTGGCAGACCTAAAAAATTTCCCTCTTCAATCCATCATTTTTTCAGTTGTTCATTATTTTTACTTCCCAAATAAAATACAGCACTGCAATTCAGTGCAAACTTAATTTGCAGAAATAAAAATGTCTTAAGAAATCTTAACCTGAAAAGGATGAGGAATCTTACACACATTGGAACAGATCTTCTTTTCCTAAACTTTTAACAGAACTTTCATGCCCTGTTACCATCATCTCTCTCTGTAGAGGTTTGTAAATTATTTAGTGTACAAAAGACAAGCTTCAGTTGAGCTACCATGCTCAAGTTTGAGTGCATTGGAAAACTTCCCTTATTCACTGAAGCCTGTAGCTTAAAATAGGAATCACAAAGTAGATGTAGACTTCAAACAATCAACTTCTACTGTAAACTCACCTGTAAACCGTATTTTACCCGTATTTGTTTTAACGCTTTTCTTCTGACTAACTCTCTCTCTTCTTTGCTAAGTGCTGGGCAAACTAAAAGGAAGAACACAGTATTGAATTAATAATAATAATGTAATAATGTTTTGAAACATAAGACAACTCTGAGAAATTTGTTTTAAGATTATTACACAGACACACACCAAGAAGAAAATGTATCATCATGTATTGTACAATTATGCCCAGCTGACAAGAAAATTGTAAGAAAACTGAAGTAATAATTATGTTTATAAAGTAAATAGCTATAATAAAAACCATATCCTGTCATAACATGACTAACCAGAAGATTCCTTTTTCCTGTCCAGGCGAAGATGTGCTCTGACTTGTCCTGGTTCACATCCATCACAAGTATCGCTGCCAGGATGTATATGAAAAGAAAGCACAGTTTCACCAATCTTCACTTCATCTCCGTGCTCCAAGATGCAGGGATCACATTTTATTTTAGGCTACAGCAAAAGAAAGTTTTGGCAGCCATGTTAATAGTTATTAATGAAGGGCATGAACTCTACTTTGTGAATACTGCTTATAATTTAGTAATTCAGTTTGTCCCTACAAACGCAGACAAGTATTTAACTACAGTGGATGTATCACACTCTAGCAACTGCAACCATAGTGGATTTTTCCTAATATAAAGCAAACATGAATTATTGTAAGTGGCCCTAAAACCAGAAAGGAACCAAGGAAGAGACTAATGTGTGAAAGAAGCCACATAATGATGATGTTAGTGATTTGCCATAACATATTTAAAATGACCACATGACTACAGTTTTCTGCAACGTACACAGCATTGTAACAACAGGTACTCACCTGGAGAATCTGATTTCCATTAACAACTGTTCCATTCTGACTGCCTTGATCCACAAGAACGTAATTTTGCAAATCGTGGTCAAAATATACTTCTGCATGGAACTGATAAATAGAAGCCTAAGTGAAACTTTCTTATTAAGCAAATACTTCACAATTTTTATGCTATTTTAAAGTAAGATTTCAGAACATATTTTGAGGCCTTTTAACTGAGTGGCTCTGGCACTCTAAATTAATACAGTATTCCGCATTTTATGATTTCATCCATGTGAAATGTAAATGAATGAGCCACACCAGCATGAGCTAAAGTATGCTATTAATAATATAACTATTTTGACCATAAACCGATCCAGTACTGAAAAAGTATATACTGGCCAATGTGGCAACTATGCTTTACTTAAAAGACTGCAAGATTCAGTAATACAGCATTTTTAACTGTTCTTTTAAGTAAAAGGCTTTTTTCTTGTAAGGTATGTTACAGCACTCTCAAATGTTCTCTTTCAATTAAAAACCAAAAATACCTCATTCTACAGCTTCAGGTTACTTGCTCTTTAATATCTGAAATACTCCGTAAGTGCCACACTTTTGTAAATTTCACAGAATTCAGCTGCATCTTGATGCTCAGGACACAATGACAAGCCGTCATTTCCTTTTATATCCTTTCTGATACTAACAACCTAATTTTTTTCTTTTGCTGTTGCAAATCTATATAGGTATTGCTCCCAAGCCCACATAAAACAGAGAAAACACAACTCCTGGCCAAACTCACAAAGATACACGCTACCTCCAAAAATGGCCACTGAGCAAACCAAAATACCAACCTCTGCAGTCTAGTAAAACCCAGAAACCTAGAAAACTAGTCCCAGTAAAAACCAGAAATCTAAAAAAGTGACAGTTTCAGATCTGACAAGCAAAGATCCCTTTTGCTAATAGTGGACAAAAAACCCCCAAGAGTCAATCTGGGAAGGAAGTGTTCACTTAACACCAAATCTTTCCTTACCTTTGAGCAATAGCAGTTGTTACATCTAGTAATAAAAAAATACCAAAATAATATTTCATAGATTGGCTAGCATTTATAACAGGAATACTCCCATAATGGTGGAAAGATTGACTAGCTCATTCAATAGATAATTTAATTTCTATCTCTGTTTTATTGAATAGGATGAACCCAAACTTCTAAAGATTCTAAATCTGCAGGGTGTAGTGTTGTTTTTTTAAAATCTCACTTTATACTTAAGAAAAGCAAATACCAAAGTGGTGCACAGCTATCAGCTATGAATAGTGAGGAAAACAAACAACTTCTTTCTATAGATATGCCATTTATCTTCCTGCCTTTGACTCCTTATCTACAAAGTGAAATAACTGTATATAAACAGTCAGGTACCCGTGAAGTACTAAAATGGTAACATCACAGAAAAATAAAAGCCTTTTGGCTTCTTTATGCACCCAATTTCACATAACATGCCTAAAAAAGTCATTAGTAGCAGGGAAAGATTTGCGCTGGAAATTGTTCTGTGTGAAATACGGTACATGGCTGATTAATTAGAACTATGATCTGGAACAGACATAGTAAAGCGTATTTCAGATACTTGCATTTGTAGATGTTTTTATCAATCTTTTTTTGTTTGCATGTCATGTCTTTGTTAATCTACATTTTCTTTTATTAAGAGTCCTGTATTTATGGTCTGTGTTAAAGTAGCTAACAAAACAGAGCACATAATTTATCTTTAATCTTTCTTAACTAGAACAAAAGTTTTCCATTATAATCTCTCACTGAAAGAAATTGTTAAATTTTCAAATTCCCTGTACATCACTTACATATCTATACAGTTGCCTTGAAGAAAAATAAAACAAAACCTGTTGCTTTGAGCTCAACTGTGAGGATTGGATTACTTTATAACAAAGTTCTGACTAGCTTACATCAATATATTATATACCATTAATACTTAACAGAGTAAGTTCTCCTCAAGTTCAATAATTAAGAAATTCCAAGATTCAAAGTATTATTTTTTTTACTGTGCATTACACTGTGGATTAGTAAAACTCCAATTAAAAAAAACACTTAGCTTTCCTAGACTTTGAAACCACACTGCTGTTTACGTTAAATTCCCATTCAGTAAAATACTGTATGTTTTCTTTTTTCTAATTTCAAATGTGGCTAAACCCACATCTCATTCTAAAATATCTTTAAAAAAATTAATGTAAGATTTTGCAAAATTTAAAGCCATAAAATCTCAAGCTTCATTCATATGCTGATCTACTTTCCAGCAGACAGAAACAAGAGTTACCTTACTGACTCCAACTTCAGGAATCTGAATTGTGTGTCCAACATCTTTTTCTCTGGAAAGGCAAGTTGATATATGAATCACAACACAGTAGAAATAGGTCTAATATGTAGCTTACAAGAGCAGTATTTCAGTTGCACCTTAATACCATGTTTCTCTTCTGAGCTACTGGGGAGCTTTACAGGTGTGAATATGCACGATGTAAAGACCCACTTCATGTCCCTTCTTCAATCTGTAAACTATATGCAGTTGGCAATGAATATACGATAGAGCTGTACCTTTATATTTTTATCAATAAACCTGACGTTTCTATCTGAACTTCTATGCTCATACAAGGCCTGTAAATAAGAACCTGAACTCTGCATCCTTCAAGCCCTTCAGGGCATCTTGGTATCAGTCTTCAATTGCTTAAGTTGAATTCTTGGTAGCATTAGCCAGGTAATACAAGCAATGAAAAAGTAGTCTGTATAGATTTTGGGGGGGGGGGGGAACCACTGCAGTGGGAGGAAGGGATTTGTATATTAGTTGCTTATACTAGGGGATGAAGAAGCAATACAGCTAGCAAAGGACCTCCATGCAAATTGCAAGCAGAACTGTCATCTGTTAATCTTCACATAAATGTACCTAAAAAACTCGAACTATAGGAGTAAATCACATCTATCAGCATTAGATAAAAGCATCTGAAAAGGGGTGAGGTTTTTGGTAAGCATGGAATAAAGCATACTTCATCATTAAATTCATCATCCACCGTGAACAAACCAGATTATTTTTTTTTTAACATTAGAACTGGAAGAATGCATACAGGCTAGCACAAACCACAATTTATTATTTAAGATGAACCAACCCTACTGGAGTTTGAATGTCTGAGGAAGTTATGGATATGCTTCCTTGTGATCCTGAATTACTGAACTATATTCTTGCATTTCTGAGAAAGTTACCTTAGTGGCCCAGGAAAAAAAATTACTTACTTTCTAGAAAACAACAGTTTTCAAAGAATGACTTGCAGCTGTGCTGCCATTAGGACTTAAGACACAAGATCAATTTATCACTAATGAATTTTCATGACTGCAGAGCAACATTAGCTGTGTATGCTGTTACCACAGCAAGCATGATACTACGTGACATGACTTAAATTTCTTACTGTTGGCTAACCTAACTCACAGTACCTCACAATTGTTGCATGCTAGGAGGACAAACATTAAGAGTAGGGACAAGCAATCCTGAGTGGCTTCCACAGCTTTCAAAGCGAGATACCGTTTCAGATTTATGTAACAAATTCTGTTCAGTTTTACCTTCCGATTGTAGCAGGTTTCACAGCTGTGATAATATAAAGTGATCCAGTCTGCAGCACTGGCGATCTTATTACAATTACTCTGATACAAGGAGGCCAGATCTTTTCTTCTTCTACAATTATAAAAAAAACCAACCCCAAAAACTGTTACTATCAAAAAAATTACAGTTTTACCGCTACAGTCTATAGCTTTCAAACAATTGATATACATTCAGCTGTTATCTGGCTGAATCCTATGCAACTTTCAGAAAAGAAATGTATAAGCACATCTGAGAGAAAACTTTGATGAGACTACTGTGTCAAAGGCTTTCTGACTACTAAAGTATTAAAGATGTTTTCCTAATTCTGCTTATTTACATGTGTACAAGTGTTTAGTTACAGCAATAAATACATTCACAGAATTTACTAACATGTTATAAATTTATGGACCATTAGTCATAACAGATTACAGTTTTACTTTGAAAACAGGGAGGTTTGTTCACCACATCACAAACCTAATGCATGTAGTACTTTATTTGCTAATTTCTGTATCAAATGTATTTTTACTAGTTTTTACTCTATTAAAACTATGCACCAATACAGATAAGAAAAAATAACTGATGAGTCTACAGATGCATATGCTTTTTTGCCTCAATATCTGTTAAGTAATTCTATTCTAGCAGCTGTACGAATTCTGTTCCTGGATATACATTTGCAGAAACAGTCTCTAGTGATCTCAGCTAGGAATGGACATGGTTGAATTAGAAGACACTAGCTCAAAAGGTACTAGGAGGAGAGAAACTCTTTCCAGTTTTTACTACTCCAGCATTACTGCAGACTTGATTATTAGAAGAGAGTCAGAAAAGGAAATTTAATCTGAAAGCCTGATGGTAGCAAGCACATTTTGAATGGCATTAATCACTCAGAATCTGAGTAGCTGAGTAAATAAAGTAATGAAAACATAAGAAACTAACTGCGAGCAGGACACAGCCTGCAGTACAGACTTCTATAGGCTGTATTTCATTCTGTGATTTGTAATATCCTTTGCATCTACATAGTTCAAATTGGTTGCATTAAGTTTTTCACAGGTTACTTTTTTTTTTTCCCTCAGTTCTTGAGGAGGTCTTAAAGACCTAGGAGAACATTTTTCTTGTCACAAAACAGCATACAGGTTTCCTCTCTATACCAACTTCTTACATGTTGCCACCAGAATACACACAAACTAGGATTTCAAATAGTACCGAGTACTCCACATTCATCCTTTTCACCACAGTGGATTCACCTTACATTGAACTGCACATGATTGTTTATGAACATATCAGAAATATTATACGCTAATCGAGGAGAGTTAATACACAGAATTACTGTGAGGTCTGTACTAGAATCTCTATTTTAGCAATAGGCTTTCTTTTCTCCCATCACTATCGTAACCTAAACAAATCTTATTCTATCCCTGAGGTCTCTACACAAGCACAGGAACTTAGACCCCTAAACAGCTTTTACAAAAACACCACTACTTACTTCTGGCTACCGTACAAGTACAGAGAAGGAAACAAATTCTGGTAAGATATAGCACTTTTTAATTCAAAGTACCTCAAGTCACGTGCTTGTTTTTTTTTGTTTTTTATTTTAAATTATCCAAGCTGTTTTCTCGTAGTTTGTTCTTAATGGGCTCCTGGAAAAATACAATAATACATAAAAGCCACAATAATTCACCTTCATCTTCTGAGTCTTCTGAATCATCAGTTTCTTCACTTGTTACTTCATCCTCACTGCTGTAGTCTTCGCACTCAGAATCTGTAATTTCACCTTCTTCTGGCTCACTTTCTGTGTCTGCTGTTCTACTGTCATCTGTATATGCTGCAGTATCTGGTGTGCTTTTGCGTGAATGCGAATTTATACTGTCTGTAGAAACGGATTCTTTGGCTGTTAAGCTATTTCGTGGTTTTGTGTCCACTTTAGTCTTCTTTCTTACATTTGGAGACTCTTCTTCTTCAGTAGAACTCACTTGCTCAGTAGTGGAAACGCAATTCAGACTGTTAGATGATTTCTGCTCTTCTGTGTCCAAATCCTGGAGGGGAGTTATAGAATGTTACTTTCTTTACAGATTGAGTTATTCTACAGTCTGCTATCAGCCTGGAAGTAAATTCTTCACTAGGAAGAATTATTTTTGTAACTATTAAGAAATGGTTACATTTCTAGAAAGTTTAGTGCATGCAGTCAACAGAACATTTCAGTAGAAATATTTTCACATCCTATTAGACATGACTGAGACCATCTTCTATTTGGGAAAGTGTCACTGCACTCCTCTTCTAAACTTGACTTATTTACTTCCTCTTTTCTCAAACAAAACTTAGGATCCTTGTCCTCACTTTCAAACTTGTACAACAGCATCTTGAATATTTTCCAGTTTTGCTTTTATGACACTTACTTCTGTCCCTCTCTTACTTGATTCTTGCAACTTGTTTAAAAGTCCTTTAATTGATCTTCATCATATCTTCCTCCTGTTTTTGTCTTCTCATTTTTTTTTTTCCACAACAGTCCAGAATATCTGGAATGCCCACCCATGCTCACCTAATGACCGGCTTTTCCTCCTTTCAAAATTGCAACTTTATCAAAGCCTTTCATGAAGATACTGTAGAGAACTTTAGTTTATGCTACGTGGAACAGTTCTACTGAGAATCCATTTTCTACTGCAACACATTTCTCTGTTGAATACCAGACCAATTAGATCATTGCAGGTTCTTCCACTGCCACTTGGTTTCATCAGCAGAAAAAAAGACCATCAACATTTTTTTTAACTGAGAAATCTAAAGTTTCAAATCCATTTTGCCAGAGCACCTTGAAAATGTAATCCTCAATCTAGCAGCCCTGATGACCATCTTAAAACAAAAACACCCCCCCAATCGCTTTAAAAGACAAATAAAAAAAATTCTCGGATATTTTTAGAAGTTATTTGCCATCTTGGATTCAGAATGAATGCATTCAATTGCCCCGAATTGTACCACATATTGCAACACAGCAGTTAAAAAACATCCTTGACTTTTTTTCAGTAAGTTTTCATATAGAGCTTTTACATTTCAAGATATGTGAATTAATGTGAATGTTAATGTCCTGGAAATTAAAGCACTATCACTTTTCAGAATTGTAAAAACTCATCAGTGGCACAGCTGTAAGACAAACACAAGAATTCCTCTCAGCCCAGCAGTCAAGCTCTTGGATAGGACTTTATAGTGTACTTCTGAAACACTCTCAGTAAGACAGCAGATTCTCAGGAATAATAACATTTTAGAAGACCTTTAACTGAAGGACTATTGGTTTGTTTAGGGTTTCTCTACAATGCACTAGCTGTCTTCCCTAAATTCTCTTAAATATTGGAACTAGGAAGGGCCAGGATCGCAAGGTTACTGCCTAACGTTTATTTTAAATAAGAGATGTAGTAATCCTGCCAAAAGTAAGACTACACAGTTCATACATGTCAGACACATTAATTTCATTATAAATCCTTCTGGCAAATCTGGTTATTGCTTTTATGTATGATCTTTTCCAGTGTATTTATCTTTCTTTATATTTATGTATGGTATGGATACTAGATCAAAACCCAACATACAAAGGTGCCCTGCAATCCTAAATGTATTTCATCCCACAATACTACGAGCTGCCAAAGTTCTACTAACCTAATCTGAAAACAGAGAAACAGAGTCTGCTCAAATCACAACTGAGGCAAAGCAACACATGACTGTGATGCATTGATGCCCAAGTATAATGCTCCAACCACTCAGCTCTTTATCCACAGTGAATCCAATGATACTTGCTTTTGGCATCACTTCAGATATTCTAAATTAGAAAATAAAATGATGCTGTTTCAAAGCCTAGCTACTAAAGACTAGACTCTCTGTTCTGGGTTGAAAACAGGAATTTTAAGAAACACTCCTATAGACAGACCAAGGGTTCTGTACGCACACTCTGCCAATATGACCATTAAGCCTGTTTTCAGCAGTTTCTGTGTTTCTTTCCACTATTACTACAGTCAACTCTTAAGAAAGACTAAGTAGCTCTGTTAAGTACTGATAAAGATGCGATCTTTGCATTTAGAAATCCTTGTACAAAATTGAGGATTTTAAAACTGCATTCCTAAAGAACATGTATTTTGAGCCTTTTATGATTTCACAGATTTGTATTAAAATGCGCATCTTTATGACGTCTAAACATTAAGGCTGGGGATGCTGAATGTATTCGTAAAGCACTTGAGGGGGTCTTTACTTTTGCTGAAAAAATCTTTTCCCATTATATATGACTACTAGTAGTAATGCAAAACACATGTAACTTGCATGAAAGTGTAACTACACAGACAGCACCATGACTCCATACAGCCGCTGCTTAAAAGAACAGGAACCAGCAGTAAACACAACGTTCAGTAAATTAACATCCTGAATGACCTAACAAATACTAGCAATACACTTCATTTCTTGATGGCAGGATATTTAAGTCTTCATCCCAAACTCATGACAGGACACACAAAATATACAGGCATGTGCTCACTATAACCATGTTTGTTACACCATGATACCAGGAACACACACACTCCTTTGTATGTTGCTTTGCCCAATATATCCAAATAGTCAGCAGACCCACCCCAACAGTCAAATATTGGCTATGGATTGCCCTTATGTGATTCAGCTTTGAAAAACTTTGTATCTGCTGGGTATTGCCACATGATTTCTGGCTTTTCTCTCACCAAGCATGACTGAAGTTGAGAGGTGAGATGAATCCGAGTTGGTTCATATTTCTGCATCCCAGACGAAAGACAGCCAAAGGTGCAAGTGAATCAGGATTTTTATGTATCCCATGAGGAGTGATATTAATTCAGGATTTTTATGTATCCCATGAGGAGTAATCTTTTGAGAATTACAAATCATGTTCATGTGACTGGAATTGATGCTTTTGCTTTATAAAGAATAGGCCACAAACTACTGATTACAATGACCTTCTGAAGTGCAGATTGGCCTACATAAAAAATATACAGGAATGATTGTAGTAACTGAAGTGTTTTTAATGTTAAACTCAGTATTTTAAGCATTTAACTATACTTTTTGCTTTACTGTGATAGAGCAAGGCATTTTGTCTTTGAAAATTTCACATTTTTCTATTATGCCTGATCAACTTCCATGTTCATGCTATTCTTCAGCATGCCTACAAATTAGAACTTAAAAATTATTGTGAACGTAATTAGCTTAATTCTAAGAAATGCACTGTTTAAACTGTATTGCTTTCTGAATTAATTTATTTTATACAAAATATTCAAATATGTACAAATAAAACTTTTCGGAAATGCATAATCTGTTCTTGGTTTGCTAGAAGTTCAGTAGGTGACTTAGCGGAATCATTGGTACTCAATGCTCTCATCTAAAGGGCTGAATGTTAGATCTTTAGCACAGACTCTCTCAATTTGAAATATTAAGCTGAAATGCAATATTTTACTAAAGAAACATTTTCAAAAAGTTTAAAATACTTTCTCTCAGGTGAGTAAGCCTGGACTTCCTAGCGTCATTTCACAAGTACTTCAGTTACTGTCTTCCACCCTACACAATACTTGAATTTCCAATGCAAAAAATCTAATTAAAAGCCACAAAAAAGAGTAAAGCTCTTCCTCTATCATAAAGAAGCCATTTTATACACGGGTGGACAGCTCCAAAATACAGGAAAGAAATTTGCCTTACCTAAAGAACGTAGAGTTCGTTTACTCAGGACACCCTATTTATACAGTGATTCTAAATATGTCTCTTCCCAAACATTCGGGAATGCCATCAAAGTTTTCTTCAGATGTTTTACTTATACAGTGTTTCAAATATATTTCAAAGTTACTTTGTAGATGAACTCATTTCGAGCAAATAGCTTAAAAAAAACTATTAATGCGTTGAGGAAAATAGGTATCTAAACATAAACTAGTACATATTATTTTTCCTTTAATAAAAATACCAAGGTTAAAGGTAAACATCCACGGACTAATGTGTTTGGTGTCTCAACTCTACCTTCACCAGAAGCTGCCAATCCAAAAGAAGAAATCTTCAGATTAGCCATGGTTTCTGTCAACTGACGTACCTAAAGATGGGACGAATATCAGCAAAAAGTAAACTACATGTGATTAAAAAAAAATAAAAATCACTGCTTCAAGAGTCCTAAGGGAAATACTATTACAAAAGCCTTGTCGCTCCTACAGAAGTAGCTAGGATGCATCTATAATGGAAAAGAATATGGCAGAAGTTAATTTTAAGCACCACACTGAAATAAAATTTATTAGACAGTAGTTTAAGAATAAACACTTTGCGTCTAAATTTTCTAATGGCCCAATCCAGCAAGTAGAACTACATGATCACTATTGCACATAATCTATTCTCCAATCTGTATGGAAGCAGTGGATCTAGATATTGGGCCAGGGATCACATTATCATTGATTGCCACCTTGTGATTTGGTGGGGTTTGTTTGTTTGGTTTTTTTAAACTTTTCCCAATTTACTTATTTAAAGGTTTTTCTTTTACAGAAGATAATTACAGTATTTTCTTGTCCTGCTTTTTTTTGCTTCACCACTACAAAAAGATACCAGAACTGAACTATATGCCTGAAAGTTGCAAAGTATTCCAACCATCCTCTTCATGCAAGCTGCACAGAGACTATCTAATACTTCAACATGGCAAATAAAATCCCTGATTGTCTATTAAAAGCAAGCATGTGGGCAGCATGCTTAGTTTCACAAGTCAAAACTATTTGTAATACAGAAGTTTGGTGACTGAAAAGAAAGATTCTCTTCAAGGAAAGTTCTTGTATAAAACAAGAACATTCCTCAGGAGATACTAAGCATGTGGGTTCCCTTCCACTGCTTTTTTTTTTTTTGCAATTAGAAGTACATTCATTTTAGCAGACTCTCACTACTACTTCCTTGTTTGGTAATTCAGCTTGTTAAAAATACAATAATATTTTAACAGATTAATTTTATTCCTTATATTCTCAGATTTATATTGCTTTTTCAAGAATGCAGCAATATTTGTGGAGAATACACTTGCCATTTCTGTAGTGTTAAGTGTCCCAACTTACTACTTATAGATTGATACTATATGTAAGATACCTGAGCACATCAAATTATTCACAATAGCTACAAACTAAACCACAACTAAAAAACCCTCCTGTGACCAGAAACAGAAAGGTAACAGATTGGTCCAGTTATGATCTTTTTTAGATTAAAAAGAGATTAACTTTGGTTTAAATAGAGTGTGTCATTCAAAAATTACACACGATTTTTGTAAAAACTATACAGCTACCAGTACTGTCTATGTAGAAATATTTGCTGTGATAATCTACACACGCAGCTGCTAGATTCCCTTATTTCTTATATTGGACAACTTTTAAGTAATATGAAATATCAATACTTATTTACATTTACTCCTTTAACTGAAAAAAAAGAGAAAAAAAGTTTATCAAGTGTTTTGTGTACTTGAGGTTCTGTAACTGCTGCTCACTGTCCTCCCCCGCTTCACATGCATATTCTTAAGAACCACTTCATCTTCATCCAGGAATAATACTGTTCAGGGGGTGTATGACATATTTCCAGAATTAGACTCTGGTATTGCTTTATTCACCACTATTAGTGGTAAATAAACCAAACCATTCTCCTGCTTGTACTGGCTGTAGAAAAAGAAAGCAGAGTAAAACCTGCTTTGGTCAAGAAATTAGGTAGTGTTTGGATGCATTTTCCGGGCTAGCAGGACAATTTAATAACCAACTGGGAAAAGCAATAATGAAGTATTCATCTTCAAAATAATTGTTGCAACTTTAATAATTTAATCAGTATTCAGGGATAGGTTTTATTTTAACTTTGTATTTTTTTTGTGAAGAGTGGAAGAGGGAATAGAAGGAAAAGGGAGAAGGCTGGGCATAGGTGTGTAGGAAAGCATTTTAACAGACTACACTTCACTATAAAGTTCTACTTAAATCCAGACATTTTTGGTTTTGTGTTAGGATGTAAATAATGCAAGAACTAGCATGAACTAATTAGTGCCTTTACCAATATCAGACCAAACTGGACAACAATATTTCCAAGAAATACCAGGCATCTACGAACTGGATTATGCAGCTTATAAATGATTCAGTTTTATAACAGAAAAATCTATAGTCTTTTATTCTAATAAATGTTTTATGTTTTATTCTAATGTAATGTTTTTAAAAACTAATGAACAAATTTCTTCTATGATTAAGAACCACACAACAGCAATAAAGTATTTTAACTCAGTACGTAAAATATGAGAGTAAGGTGCTTTTTTTTTTCCCCTAAATCTAACAGTGCATTTACATAAAAGTGCACTCACAAAAAGGCATTCTTTTCTTTTTGAAGTTTAAAGTGGAGAGTAATTGTTTTAAGCTTCACTTTGTATTCTCCCTTTTTTTGTTATTAAAAAAAATTGAAAAGGCCTTGATTCTTACTCTGACACTTTAACTTACTGTTCACAGGTGCAAAGATCTGTGCACTACATAATCGGTTTTAAATATTTTTCCTGTTATCTTGTTGGTCAAAGAAATTAATTCACAAATAAAGCAAAGTACTCAGTTCAGTATCCATAAAACACACCTTAAGAAGTGGATGTTTACCTCCTACCTTGTGACTGTGCAAGCTTCACACAGAAGATTTATTAACAAGACCATCTTGATAATATTTTATCAATATAAAATAACCTAAAGACAAGTAGCTATTTGTAGTATAATCAGATGACAGAAGCAGATTGTGATGATATCCCCAAAAGTAGTCAAAACTATTTGTTAGGTCAGAGCTATATATGCCACAGAACTTTCATATATATACTTGTTGATTTAGTTCACCACAAAACTAAATTTAAAAGATTTCTTAATTGCACTGTATGATAAAGGCTTATTCCTACAAGCTTACCATAATGCTTTCCTAACACATGACAAATAAAGTTCTGTATTAACAATGCCTTTTGGGAGTGGCAGAATGCTAATTCAGTAGTTGCACACAGAATGTCCAGAACTTGGAACACTGGTAAAACTCCTAGCTTCAACTGCATTAGCTCCTCGCCCTTAAGTCTAGGGGGTTGTTATAAATAGTGCTGATAAGTATCCAATTTCAGCTCTCAAAATGGAATGGTTCACATGAAATTTTCTCAGAAATTAGAAATTCCCATATTAACCACAATCTATTTATAAAACCTGTAATCGATCCATTCAACCTACCTTCACTGGTTCTTAATGTAAACAGTTCCCATTTTCAAATCTGCAGACGACCTCACCCCGATACAAAGTTTTTAAACTCTGTAGTGATGCTACAGAACTATAATATAAGAGTACCTGTACACTAACACAATTATTTCAGGTTTCAAGCAATCAGTTTTACTGAGGCCTACATAATGAAATTATGCAACTCCTAAAGCAATAGCATTAAAAAATACAAACTAAGGAACACTGCAAACTAAAGAAATCAATATATTCAATTAAATCTGAAGTAATAAACTGAATTTGCAGAATAGGACTAAACAAATTTGATTCAACATTAATAATAGTGTTCATTAAGAAAATGCTTCTTTAGGTTTAATAGCTGTGTTACAATAAAACTTCTGGTGTTTATGAGTGAGTAAAGTTTTTCAAGGTAGTCACTATGTACTAAATGATACGTATGCTTTCTTAGCAATCAGATAAACAATAGAAGTCATGTTTTTTATAACTTAAAATACAAGTTAACTACAATGGGCATTATCCACACACTCTGGGCAACAAAAATGCAATGACCTGATAAAATATCAATAGGAGAACATAACATGCAAAGAATTACAACTTCACAGACATTTCATCAATCCCAAATGATGGTAAAGATAGAGTAGAGTGTCAGTGGAATGAGCCTCGGAATACAGTCACAGAGAAGGGGTGGTGTGTGTGTGCATTTTCAAAACCTTCAGTCATTTTTTGATTCACCATGTGACTTAAAAAAAAGGCCAAGAACAAAAAACCACAAGCCAAAATCCTAAAACCAAGACATTGAAGTAACACTGAATTTCTGATGTAAATCCTGTCCACATAGTACCCTGAATTCGTTCTAGCATGCTTGCTAATCGGAGAGCTTTGCTTGACCCTCAATTTTAGACATTTATACAGTTGTATTGTAATAAAATAACATTGAAAAAGTGAGGGAAACCAAGTTTTAAGTTTCACTACTTGTTAGCAACTGGCTGGATATAGTTTAAAGATGCTTGAATCCTTCAGAAAATAACCACACATCCTCTACATAAAACCAAACCCCACAACCCATAAATCACATAATAAAAAAACCCAAACAAACCCAACAGGCTTTGCATTTTCTGTCAGTTCAAAAGTTACCTTATACTCATTTGCAGTAATCCGCTCTGGTTCTTTTCTCTTCTTTTTCCCTTTTTTATCCTTAGTGTGCTGAGTCCCAGAGGTTTGGTAAGACTGCAGATCCACTCGTGAATGAAACTGGTATCGGCCACTTTCCACATCACAGTAGTAATAAATTCCAGTTGCTGGATCATAATACAGTTGATTTTCCTTTACAAGAAGGAAAGAACAATGTTATCATTACTTCAATAAATACATTGTTCAAAGAAGCACCAAGTTAATGAAGAAACACATATGAAGTTTCAAAAAAAAAAAAACCAACCCCAAACTCAAATGTACTGAAAAAACGTGGTGGTGTGATCCTGTCTGGCTACCAGGTGCCCACCCAGCCGCTCTCTCAAACCCCTTCCTCAGCTGGACTGGAGGAGACCTCAAATGGACTGGGGGAGAATATAAGATGAAAAGCTCATGGATCAAGATAAAGATATGGAGATCACCCTCATGGGCAACCCAAATTCAACTTGGTGAAAACAAGTTTATTACCAGTTTAAAAAGTGTTGGAAGAGGAGAAAGAGAGACAAAATGCCTCTCCCCACACCTTTTCTCCCAAGCTCTACTTCACTCCTTCATTCCCAACTCCTCTACCTCTCTTCCCTCTACCTGAGTGGCACAGGAACACGAGGAGTGGGGGATTGCAGTCAATTCATAACAGGTCCTCTCTGCTGCTCCTTCCCCCTGACATTTTTCCCCTGCCCCGCATGGGTCCTTCCCATGGGTGGCAGTCTCTCAATAATTACGCAAGCATGGGTCCTCCACAGGCCACATCTCTGGCCAGGGGAATCTGCTCTGGCATGGGCTCTCCACGGGCCAAAGCTCCTTAAGGAACTACTCCGCTGTGGGGTCCTCCAGACTGCAGTGTGGATATCTGCTCCAGTGTGGTCCTCTTCCGTGGACCGCAGGGAATTGCGTGCTCTGGTGCTTGGAGAACCTTCTCCCGCTCCTTCTTCTTTGACCTTGGTGTTTGCAGGGTTTCTCATGCTGCCTCCCTTTCTCACCTCCTCTGCCACATAGACACTCCACTGTGCAGTGTTTTGCCCTTTCTTAAACACACCTTCACAGAGGCACCACCAGCTTCTCTGGTGGGCTCGGCTGTGTCCTGCAGTGGAACCGGCTGTGTCCGGACAGCCCCTGCCCTCTTTTTACAGAGGCACCCTTTGCAACCTCCGGCCCCACTACCAAAACCTTGCCAGTAAACCCAATACAAGAACATTTCCTGTAATTCAGAACAGTTACTGAACAAGGAAATAGATTCTTTTGTGTAATTGTACCATAAGCTGTAATTTATAGCCCTAAAGATTTATGCATCCAACTGTATCCACAAACCACATTAAAAGCAACGGTATCATTTAAGACTTAAAGAATTAAGTCCAGAAGTGTCTCTGAAAACAAAACAAGTAGTTTTGTGTATCACATGCACACTTTTTTAAATTGAGTTGAATGTAATGGCACAACCAACACCTCTGTTTTCATCAGAGCAGTTCCACTGGGATTTGTGAGTGTAGATATGCATATACGTATATATATACCTCAATGGACAAAAAGAAAACCTCCCCAAAAGCTCTTATGAATAACATATAGCAGAAATTAACCATTATGAAATTTTGATCCACTGTCTGACAACTTTTTTTAAAGTATTTTCTTACCTGTAACATCAAGCTACCTGTTAACTGTACTCAAGTAAAAGTACAAGCATGTCGTATATTCTCTCTAAACATGATTTTCACTGTGAAGAAGCCACTGACTTAGTTCAGCAACCTGTCTCTTTCTGAACAAGTCATCTTTTAGCCCGTGCTTATAATTTTGAAAGTTACAGAGCAGCTTTATAGCATAAAATTTCTACAATGCCAAGCAAGTTAAACGAGACATCAAAAAGAACTGAACGAAAATCTGAATTTGTATCTTAGCCTGCTATCTTTAATTTGACCGAAATAATTCAACAACTAATTCACAAACTTCCATTACTATTTGTCTTCAGTAACATGTTTTTCAAATCATAAAGTCAGCTTGGATCTCAGCTCTTTGCTCACATCAACTTTTACTACTAATATTTTGCAATAGAGAAAAAATGCCAAGGGTTTTGAAAATCCTTACCGAATTATAGTAGAATCCAGTGCTATGGTCATAATACAATCCTGTATTTTCATCATAAATAAACCCGGTTTGTGAAACAGCAGCTTCTGCAGCAGCTCTCAAGCTCTCTGCCAAAGAACCCTCTGGTACTGAAGTATCTTCTGCTTCCTGATACCGGAAAGTAAGAAATTAAATTTTCTTCTAAAAAGAACCTCCTTGGTTCTTTAGCATTTTACAGTGCCCTATTTTAAATAAAACAAATTAGTGCTCTGTGGACTTTGATTGATTCAAGAACTATTAAACAAGAAGGCAGAAATCATAGCTGTGGTTTACTGATCATAGAATCATAGAATGTTTTGGGTTGGAAGGGACCCCTAGAGGTCATCTAGTCCAACCCCCCTGCAGTGAGCAGGGACACAGCTAACTAGATAAGGTCGCTCAGAGCCCCATCCAACTTGGTCCGATTTCAATGCGACCAAGACTTCATCCTGTGCCTCTCGTTTTCCCCAACCTTTATTCAAAAGTGGAACACATCAAAAATATACACAGTAAATGTCCTTCAGTACCTTCCTAAAATACATTTCTGCTCTCCATTTCATTGAAGTTGCTAGATGATAAGGCACAAAATCAGTTAAGTGAGTAAGACAAAGTGAGTGATCTCAGAGAGGGCTGGATAGCCCATAACAAACAAATAAAATGCCCCAACAACTTTCTTCTCCTTATATGTTGCCTCCTTATGTCAGTGGAGAGGAAAAAAAAAAAAAAAAAGAAGTACAGATTAGGACAGCCAGCATGGCCATATTGAACATACTCTGTTGATAAAAAATGCCATGCTTCCAGGCTATGTAGGACATGTCTCAGAATGTGCATTTTTTTTAAACAAATCTAGGACTATGTTATGCTTGGAACATACCACAAACAGAGTAAGTTTCAAAGCACAAGTATGTCTGCCTGCTATCACCAGCACCACACTATCACAAAAAAATCGTTTCATACAATGATATCAAGACCAAAAGCACATCTCTTAAATGAAATGAAGTATTAATAGACTGCCAACTTCAAAATTGATAAAATCCCAAACAGTTCTATAACCTGTGAATTCTGGATGAAATTTTCCTCTTCTCCACCTTCAGCAACTTCAGTGCTACCCATCCTTAAAGGAATACTAGCACCTGTCTGAGATTCCTCTGTGGAATTATGCTCAGTGCCTTCAATCCCATGATTGTGTTGCACTGGGAGTTCAGATGCACAATCTTGAGTATCACTGTGACTGTAATAATTTTCATAGTAGTAATAATCTGCAAGGGGAAAAAAAAAAGTTGAAGTTGCATAAATCAGCAAAGCACTATTTTACACAACGCAGTTTAAGGATCCTAAATCTTAATCTGGAAATTTATGCACATGAGTAGTTTAATGAAAATCAACTATTAGGTAGTGCCTCCACTTTGAATTAATTCTACTGTTACTGAACAACTTATATCTTACTTTAATGTACTTCAACTATTGGTAAAAAAACCACATATGTGTATGTATGAGATTACTATGTAACAGGTTGCACGACTCTGCTACAGTCCATGCTACATTTTATCCTGTTCTAAAAAGAATGGCGTGAATAAATAGGAAATGGTCCCAAAAAGTATGTCATGTTCCTGTATTTAATGCAGCTAAGGATACAGACTTGAAATGTATATTAAAAAAAAAAATTCAGAATCAGAAACTGTTCTAGATGCCTGTTTAAGCAGTCACCACCCCCTCTACCTGCTTGTGACCACGCAGCATAGTCCTCAGTCTGTACTTCTACACTAGAGGTATCTTTCTCCTTCCCATTATGGATTTCCTTAGTGAGCTCTTCAATCTGAAAGAAAAACAGCCTGTTACAGAATACAGTGCTGCATTTTAGGGGTCTACGTCAGAAAAGAGTATCAGTCTGTTTTACATTCTATAATTCAAACAAAAAATAACTGCATCATAGCTATTTCAATTGGTCTTTGTTATGCAGGAGACAATTTCCTATTTGAACAGTTGGCATAATGAAAAACATAATTTCTGCTCACGAAAGCTATAATAATAAAGGCAAGCACTTGGAAGGAAAAACTTAACCGGGGTTATTTTTAAGATGCCCACCCAAAAAGTGGAATTTCAAACAAGAACCACTGTTCTGTGGTGATGAACTGTAGCACTTTCAAAACGTCCCTATTTTGCAACAAGCATCCCTGGGACAGTTCTTTCATTAATTCTTTACCTCACCTTGTTTATTGAGCCTCTTTACTTCTGCTAAATGCAGTTCTTCCCTCTGTGACACCGACTTAGTGGCAGAGAAGCCGTTATCACTCCCCACCACCTGCCAGGCCACCGGCTGGGCGCCGGGCGAGGCTTTTTCAAAGGCA